AGGCTTGCTGCTCTGGGCGTTGTATTATTGATCATCTCCTTAAGCACCACCTTGTGGCTGAACTAATTTTAGACACATAGAGGTGTCCTCAAAAATTGCATGGTGAGGCTAAAAGGTACTTCAGGAAAGCATCTAGTCCATCCCTGAGCCACATGCACAGTTCACTATAGCTGTGTCACTCCTGACAGATACCTTACGTATCCCCCCCAAGTCTCTGAAGATGGAGGAACTACATCTCCCTGGCAATCTGTGCCAGTATTCACTGTCCACACTGTTACAAAAGCTTCACCAATGTCTAACCTGAATCTTTCTTACAGCTATTTAAACTCTTTATTTCCTCATCTCTGCATGATGGACTAGGTGACTTCTTTCTTCTTTTCAAAGGCCTTTGAAATCTGAAGGCTTTTTTATCACACTTCTGCTAAGACTTGCCTTTCCCTTAGCTGAACATCTTTGATTGTTGATATTGTGCTTTCTGGTTATTGTTGTTGCTCTCCTCTAAATACTGTCCAGTTGTTTTAGATATTTTTGAAGTAAAGTGGGCAAAGGAGATGCAGTGCTTTAGCTTAGGTCTTAACTAGGCTGACCAAAGCAGAACTGCATTATGTATCTAATCTGTTATTACATCCCAGTACAGTATTTGTTGCTTTCACACAACTATGGCGTTGCTTACTCAGTTCTATTTAATATCTATTATAAACCTTACTTCTTTTTCTATGGAACTGCTGCTAAGACACTTGTTTCCTACCCTGTTTTTATATAGCTGATTCTGCCTGAAAAGTACAGAATCATGGAATCATAGAATGCTTTCGGTTGGAAGGGACCTTTAGAGATCATCTAGCCCAACCCCCTGCAGTGAGCAGGGACAGCTTTAACCAGATCAGGTTGCTCAGAGCCCCGTCCAACCTGACCTTGAATGTTTCTAGGGATGGGGCCTCCACTGCCTCTCTGGGCAACCTGTTCCAGTGCTTCACCACCCTCATTGTAAAAAATTTCTTCCTTATGTCTAGTCTAAATCTATTCTTCTTCAGTTTAAAACCATTACTCCTTGTTGTGTCACAACAGGCCTTGCTAAAAAGAATGTCCCCATCCTTTCTATAGGTCCCCTTTAAGTACTGGAAGGCCGCAATAAGGTCTCCTTGCAGCCTTCTCTTCTCCAGGCTGAACAACCCCAACTCTCTCAGCCTGGCCTCATAGGAGAGGTGCTCCAGCCCTTGGATCATTTTTGTGGCCCTCTTCTGGACCTGCTCCAACAGGTCTATGTCCTTCTTGAGAACAAGCTGAGAACAAGCTGAGTAGTCAGCACTATCTGTGTTGCATAATAGCATCATATTGTAAACTTATTCTCCAAGGTACACGCAATCCCTCCCGTCCTGAAGTCTCCCACAGAATCAATCAGTGTACATTCTACTTCATCCCGTGTTAATATTTAATAGTATCAGTTGTGGTACATTCTTGAGAACTGTTCAGAGCAGACCTCTGATATGACTCACAATTGGACAGTGTTTCACTGGTAATTGCTTTCAAAATATACTTTTCCAACTGGCTTTGCACCTATTTTGTAAGAATTTAATCTGCCCTTTGCAGAAGAGATTATCATATGAGATGGTTCCAAAGTCTTACTAAAGTAAAGGGTTGAAAAAGTACTGTTTCTTCCCCAATCTATCTGTGTTGCCACCTGGTCATGGAAAGAAATTAGATGAGTGTGGCATGGTTTGTTCTTGATTAATATATGTCACATGAGACTCATCTCCCTGTTCTTTTCCAAGTGGTTACAAATGGACTTTTTCTAGGAATACAAGTTAAGCTGATGTGTCTATAATTTTTCAGCTCCTCCTTTTCCCATTTTTCTGTCTTCTGCTGCCTTTCTTAGTCCCCAGGAATTGTCAGAGGTGACTGCTGATGGTTCCAAGATGGCTGCAGCCCTCTTTAAGTTTCTTCAAGCTCTTCAAGTTTCCTGCATAAAATTCTACAAACCCAGACAATCTGAAAATAGCTAATTTATGTAGTATTTTCTCATCCATTCTTTTGCTTTTTCAGGCTGAGATTTTACTTCTTTCACTCTACTACTTAGGATATTAGCTATCTGTCTGCCACTGATCTTTCTAATGAACACTGATACAAAAAATAAATGAACTGCTTCTGGCCTTCTTGAATTATCTGTCAATAGATCTCTCTCTGTTGAGCAGTGGATCAACACTTTTCCTTCTCTTTGTTTTACTACTAATGTATTTGTGGAATATTTTTTGTAGCTCTTGACATTTCTTGATAGGTCTGTCTCATTTGCTCATTTGCTTTTCTAATTTTGTCCTTCATTATTCAAATTATTTTTTATACTTGTCTTTTGTAAACCCCTTACTTTATCCTTTCTGTACATTTCCTTCTTGTATTTCAGTGAAGAGCTCTTTCTTTAGCTAAGTTAAGTCTTTACTACAACCTCTAGCTCTGTGCTAGGATATATTGTATGTGCAGTTAGTATTGTTTCATTAAGTAACTACCAGCTTTCTTTAACTCCTTTTACCTTACACTTGCTTTCTCATGACCTGCTCCAGGAATTTAGTGATCAGTATTCTGTTTTTATGGGAATTTTTCTTCCTAGTCCATTGTTTCTACTTTAATGTTCTTACTTCCTTCTGTAAAATTCTGACACTAGATCATTTCATGATCACCTTCACACGAGTTACCTTCTGTCTTCACAGTTGATCCTTCTGTATTGGTCAGGATCAAATGTTGGTGAACAAGCCTTCCTGCTGCTTTCCGCAGATTCTTGTGCTGTGCCTTAGCTTTCACCTTGAGTGTTTTCTGTACTTTTGGGTTGAATCAGATTTCTTCTAAATGCTTTCTTGTATTCTGTTTTGATTAGGATGGGAGATTTATTGACAAATCTTCATCCATATTCAATTTTTTCAGCTACTAGTTTTATGCATTTTTGTTGTAGCTTAACAGAAACTCTGAAGAACAAAAACGTGATTCATTTTCACTAGTCTATTGCTGGAAAAGTCTCTCATATTTTTTGTCTTATGCATTTTATCTCTCCTTTGAAGTATATTCCTAACTAGAATTAAAATCTGGAAGCTAGATTGAGTATATTGAGCTTTATTGATTTTTAAAAAATCTTTTAAGAATATAGAATTTAAAAAGAATTTTCATAATGACTTTAATGTCAATTTAGCCAACCATTTAAGTATATATTTACCTTCAGTCTCATTGAACTTGATGAGGACTTGAAATCCTTTTAAAAGAAAATGGAAGCAAAAATTATTAATACTTAGGGGCATATATCTGACTTCATTATTTATTTACCTGTTTGAAACTGTTATCCAATGGTTTTGTTTGCATTAGAGGCATCTTTCAAAAGATTCTAGCTATTCTTAACATGCTTTAACTGTAAATGTAGACTGTCTAAACATGTTCCACACAGTTCCAGAAACAAAGAAATTTTGAGGGATGTCCCTTCTGGTGGGACAGAAATGTTTATAACTTAAATGAGTCTTTGAAAAATTGTTAACTTATTAATGAGAAAAATCAGGAATCCCAATTTAATTGTACTGATTTGCCTTTTCAGAGATTTCTTGTAAGGTATGGGTAGAAATGAAAAAACATTTTCATTGTTTTCCATATACAGGCCTCTCTGTTAAGATTATCTTATCTTTATTGATTTCTGTCACATGCTTCCCTCATTTTCTCCTTCCGGGCTGACCTATAGTCTCCTGGTGCATTTGTAGCTCCTAGCACTATTTGATTACTAGAAGGACTTTGTCACATCATTAAAATCCTGTGGGAGCTAACGAACAGGTGCCCAGGTTAAGAAAACTGATACCTGGCAACCCAGCAGTACACGGCATGTGTTTTACCGTACTTCCAACCTGGCTGCCCTCCCTTTGCTGCACGGGCGTACGGGAGCCGTGGCTGCCATGGGCTGAAGTGCAAGGTCTCGCCCTTGTGGGAGACCTCTGTGTTTGGTGTGATCTGCCCTGTCAGCGAGCCCACAACGCCAGCCAAATTCAGCCCTTGTGTCGTGTCTCCTGACGTTTCACACTGGAAGTGAATTTGGTCCATGCTATTAACTGCAAGTCCCAACAAAGCAAAATGTCTTCCAGTCATTCTGAGATGGCTGCTGAAGTTCCGTTTTGTTCTCCTTTGGCTCCATTCCTACTGTCCTTTAAGCCTCTGCTTTCCTTTTTCCTCTGTGTTGTGCCATGTGCTTCCTGTCTCCCCCTCTCCTTTTACCTGTTCGTTACATGCCTGTTTTCCCATTTCTTTCATCCCCTTCTCTGCTTCTCTCTCGTAGAGCCCTGATAGCCTTCCCTTTCACTCTTCCTTTTGCAGAACCAAGTGACCTGCTTTACTCTTCTTTTTCCTTCACCAGCCCCTTTGTGAAACTCCTTACCTAGGTCTCTGCAAGTGGCCTGCATGCTCTTGCATTTCAGAGAGCTCTAGTGAGCAGCTATAAAAGGGTTGCCAGCTAGGCCTGATATTTAGAAAAGACAGAGAGTGGGAGCAGAGCTTTTTCTTCATTGCTGTTTTCTTGTGTTATGCCGTAAGGGAAAAGAGAGCCGAACAGAAAAAGGTGCTGAAGAAGGAGAGAGTTTTCATGGTGGGGGACTGAATGGCGGAGGCAGCCGCACGTGGAGGAACGCTGTTGTGCCCACTGCGGGTCGAGAGCAGCAAGCGGAAGAGCTAGCTGTGCCTGCGTAGCCTCAGATCTGATACGATGTTTGGCCATTGCACGCTTCATCAGTACTTTAGAAAGTTCAACATACATTTGTTTCTTCATCTTCATGTGTCATGTCACTGTTTTAATTGGCTGAGTATTAAGAGCCAAGTTTGTCTTTAGAACGTCTTCAGAGAGCTTTTGCTACTCACGTCTCCTGGGCAGAACTTGGACTTATAAGTCATTCTTTGTTTTTACAGCTTCTTTGTTCAGTTTTTTATTTTAGCCTTATTTTATTTTACTGCTCAACCTTTAAAAATGTAATTCATTTTATTTTATTTTGCAGACACCTCTTATTGAACCTCACATCCCACATCGTCCTACTAAAACCATTACACAGGTAATAGGACATAGGTGTGCTGTAGAGCCAGGCCACTGGACAAATGGAAATAACTCCTATTTCCAACAGTGTGATGAGTATCAGATGAAGTGATGCTTTCTGTTAGATGTGATAAGTATGTGAGACTTAAAATCCCGAATATGTACTACACTGCTCTGCAAAAGTAAGCATCTGTGCAAGGACTTTTAATTTAGGGAGAAGAGAACTTGTGTTTTGTTTTTCAGAAGGCAGTACAGAGATTGCGGAAAGTTTAAAATGTGTGTGTCTTGGTCCCTTTTTTTTCTCCATGATCACCAAGGTTCCTTCAGAAAAGATCCTCAGAGCTGGAAAGATTTTGCGGAACACAATTCTGTCCCGAGCCCCTCACATGATAAGAGATCGTAAATACCATCTGAAGACTTACAGGTGTGTGAGCTGATTGTATAGAGGTCTCTGAATTTTTATGCCTGCCATCCTCTGATTTGTGATTTATGCCTTACCATACTTGCAGGTCTCAAAAGGTCTGAAATTATTCTGTGATGCTATTTGAGTCTGGATGTTATGCAGTCTTTAATGGGCCTGGTAAATCTTTTCTGAAGTAATTTGACTGGAAATTGAGTCCATGATTGTGAACAGAGTATTCACATACAAAAACTCTTCCAAAGTTAATAGCATAGTTAGCTGGAATATTCTGTGCAATATCGAGTTAAAATGTAGATTCTGTTCTCTTTGTGTATCAGTAAGAGATAATAGGAAAGCTCATTAATGTATTATGTTACTGTACTGATTGCTACAGCGGTGTTGCTCAGTGTGGAGTTCTGAAAATTCACCTGGTGTGAAACATTCCTTATGTAGATTTTCTGTTTTATTTAAAATTATTTTCTTCAGTGTATTGCCAGGCTTTCTTATCTTCCTGCTGGTGGCAGCACTGTCTTGCTGAAGTGGGATAACAATAGCACTTGTAGAATAGGAATCTGACTTCAAGGAGTCAGGATCTATCTACTGTTGGCTTAAGGAACAATCAATTTGTTTTACTGTCTAATGTTTAAATCAAATACCTAATGCATTATTCAGAGTATATTTAAATAAAAATTGGTTTAAAATCTCTGAGTATGTCTTTTTCTAAAGAGTAAATCAATATGTTGCTGATCTGCTTTTAAGATAAGTGCATTGATTTTCCATATTTCAGTCCAAAATGTATTTAAGATGATGCAAGGTATTTGGAGCTTGTGAGTTGATCTGAGAATATATGACGTTACCTAGAAGAATAAAAGAGCATGTATGATAAATGAAGACCAGTGCTGGTCCACACAACAGCGCCATTTTATCTTATGCATAAGTGGGAAAAACTCTTACTGTTCTATCCTTGTTTTTTTTAAAATATGGAATGCCAAAATTAAGATTGGATCCAGGTGAGGGCAAGTTTTGTCGTCAAAATGGGATTTGAATTGGAAGAGCATTATTTAAGCTAAATTTCAGCAATTTCAGTATTATCTATTTCCTTGGTTTCTAAAAGTGATGCAAGGAGTGTGGAGCCACGAGAGCCTGTCTAGAAGGACTAGCCAGCTTCCTCTCTGTTCTACGTGTGATCAGTTATAGATTTGTAAGTTTTTGATCACATTGCTTTTTTGCTTCTGTTCTGCTGAGCTAGTGAGTGTTAGGACAAAGAATTTTACTTAGTGATCATGGGCTTTTTGCTTTTTTCTCCCTCTTTGGCCATTCTTCAGAACTTGAGGCCTGTTGTTGTCTGCCTTTGGGTCAGTCAGGAGCTGCGAGGTGACCAGCACCTAGCATGAGAGCGCCTCAGAAACACTGTAGACCTACAAACATATGTCCCCAAATACAGTATGGCTGGAGTGTGGTTACAAAGGAAGGAACATCCTCATAACACTCACTCTTCCTGTGGAGGCTGTTCTCGTTGGCAAAGCTCTTGCAGTGTTAGATGATTGTTTTCATGCAGGATTCTGAAAAGTGTGAGGCTTTTGCTATCCCATGGTATACAGCGAAGGTTTCCTTTGAAATCTGGGTTGCGCTGGTGCAACAGGTTTTGTACCAGGTGGCACAGGGTCACTCTGATCGTCTGAACTTCGCTTTTCCCAAAACACTTGTTGTTTTGCTGAGGAGATCCTCTCAAAACTGAACACCTTCATCGGTATTTCAAGCATATACGCATAGATGGTGATGTGTTTTCTGTAGGGAGATTTGACTAAGGTTATACAGAGTTTAAGATATCACTGTTCTTGACAGACACTGTGTGATCTCTCTCTTGGCTAGCTCCCTTTTCATTTCTATCTATTTATTTGTCCTTCAGGCAATGCTGTGTGGGGACAGAACTAGTTGATTGGATGATGCAGCAAAGTCCTTGTGTCCATTCACGAACCCAGGCTGTTGGCATGTGGCAAGTATTGCTGGAAGAAGGTGTTCTTAACCATGGTAAGATAAACAAAATCAGCAACTTGACTAAAACATGGGCGATGTGTGACATCAGTGCCTCTGTAGATCTCTTTCATGAAAAAGAAAGGGATCATGAGCTCAAAAGAAATGCTGCAGAGCAACCTGTTCATTCGTAAGTGCAGGTGCAACACACAGACAGTATTACATGAATCTTGCTACCAATATACCTTTTTAACTTATGAGAATAGTGAAAAGTAAATGAACAATTTATAATGATAACTCTATACTTAGGAATACACTGGCTTGTGATTATATTGCAAGAGCTGTATAGCACTCAGGCCAAAACCAAAAGATGTATTACCATACATAAAACTGATCTTCATCAAAGATTTTCAGCATTTGGAAGTAGATGTGAGCATTTGTGTTTGCTCAGATCCGTAATTTTGGAATGATTTTTAGTGGTTTTAGAATGGTTCCCAAATTCAGCACTCCAAATATTCCAGTGCAGAGATCTGGGATTTTATGTTAGTTTTCTGACTGTATTTTATATTGACCTTCAGTTTCCATTTGGCAGGATTTACTTGGTAACAGGACATTATAATCCTCAAAAGTGTAGCTTTCTAAAGCAATATTCATATTTGAAGCTTTGCATGTACAGTTTTAGTAAGTTCAGAAGAGCAGCTCTATTACAATACACTTCCATTTATCCTCTGTTGTGCTTCCCATATCCCAGGGAGAAATTTCCACACTGAGAAGACAGATTGTTTCCCCCAATTCCTTACGCTAAGGGCTCTAGCTTTAATTCCTGCCAAATACTGCCTTGAACTTCCAGGGGAAATCTGTTGCAAGCTGTATCACAGTATCCAACTCAACACATCACTCTGACTTGCTTGGAAGACCAAGGGTTTGTCCTTTGCCATATCATAGCCTCTCTTTAGAAGTCTTCTCTTGGTAGTATTTCCATTAAGTTCTTCCACCAGAACACAGGTCAATGAACTTTCCCCTGGAATTATATCTTGATGATGTACATTTCTGGTACATCAGAAAGAGTTTAGATGCCTTTGTTACCTTTTAGCCCTGTCTGAAACACATAGGGCAAGGTGTTCATGCTAGAGAACACCTGTTAGAAATTCATGATGTAACCGTTTCCCCAGTGTGAATTGTTTGCTTAAATGAAATGGGTTGAAACAATAAGAACAAAACCAGATCTAACAGGAAAAACACACACACGCATGCACACACACATATATGTATACACACCCACAACATACATATATACAAGCCTTTTGGAAAGTATTTGCAGTACACAATCTAAAAGTGTACCCTCCAAGCTACATAATTTGGACATATGTGAGAAATAAAGGTGTTTCATACTCTTGCAGTTTCTCTGTAGCTTTCTTTCCCGTCTTAACTAATATAACTGTGCCATATACGATGCTACACAGATTTCTATGAGGTTAATTTTAATGAGGAGAGCTTAGTGTTTGATATGTTATGTTGTTTTCAGTGGATCAGGAACACCACTTTCAAGACAAATACTTATTTTATCGGTTTTTGGACGATGAGTGTGAAGATGCCCCTTTGCCAACCGAGGAGGAGAAAAAGGAGTGTGATGAGGAGCTACAGGACACTATGCTTCTTCTGTCTCAGATTGGGCCAGATGCTCATATGAGGATGATTCTCAGAAAACCGTAAGTAGATTAATGAGTTGATATTATGCATGGGCCTTCCTTGTGACGTGGAAACAAGAGAAACCTACATTTATTATCAGGCATCCTTTGGCCAGTTATTCCACTTCAGTGCCAGTTTGTTCAACCTGTAAAGTTTTTAAGTCTATATTAAGTCATTTCCAGTCCTTATTAATGCTTGTAAGTTGAGAATAACCATCAAAGGCCATGAATGCCATCATATTCACCTTGAGGAAATGCTGCATTATGAGTTTGTGTTTCATTTCTGAGTCTCCCCAAAAGTAAGTTGCAGGTAATAGAAGAATCTTGCTCCGTTAACACTTTTTGTGTAGACGTGCCATTCGGTTAACTATGCTGCTTTCAGTTATTGTGAGTGAGTGGTAGGATGGCACAGCAGGTACCTTTCAATTACAGTCTTCAGTGGCAGCCATTAATTGGATTCATCCTTGGTAGAACTTTATTGAATTAAGATGGGCTGGACTTGGCCTGTTGTAGTTTGCTAGCAAGGTGTGAAATGTGGCTCTGTGGGTTTATTTATCCATTCTTATTGTTATAAAATCAATACACTGGAAAAAAAAATGCTTTCTGTACCTAGACCACAGAGGATGTCTGCCTAACCTTTTCACAGCTATCAGATTATGTCCTCTCACCCATCGGTTGGCTAACCATCCTTTCAGCAATATGTTCTGGTCACACTGAAAACTGTGCTAAAGGCCTTTTTTACAGGCAGCTTTGTAGTGACTTCAAAGCAACCAGTGTAGACTCTGTTTGACCCTCCATTGAAGGCAACGTCTTCATTATGCAGGTAGTGTTTAGGGGCCACTGAAGACATACTTTGTTGCTAATTAAGCGCACTGAGAATAACGAATTACTTAAGGTCATCTTCACTGAAGATTTACTTGTAAAGGTCAGTTCAGAAAAGCTAAGTACACAAAGCTGGATCCTGCTCCCTTGAGGCCATTGGCTAAGTTTTTCTTTGTTGTGGGATAGGATTGGGCCCTGCCTACAGTGTGAGAACATTTTTTGTACTAAAAATGTTTTGAATCCACTTAACACAAGTGTTTGCTCCTGTTCTGTTTGCATCTGTATCCTTTCCCTGCTCCATTCTTGACCCTGTGTTGTCTGTTTAGATTGTAAGCTCGTTTAATGGCACTTTTCCAAAAAACTGCTAAAAGCATTGAATTTCAAAAAGTGACATCAGATACTTGTGCTTGTAAAAATAGGTAACACTGCCATCAACCAATAGTTTAAAAAGTACAGATTCTCTTTCCTCTGTTCATTAGTGGCCCAGTCAAACACAAACAAAGGAGCACTCACTCCCTGTCACGCAAAATACATAGACAAATCAGACTGGGAGCATGGGGCTTCCATAAATCCTTATGGTGTCAGGGCAGTGAGGTGTTTTGTACTCACAGAGATGTCCTGTGCGTTCTCCACTGAGGAGCGAAAGAGGGCTTCTTGCACCCATGAGCAGCTGCCAGTCGTTAGGAGACCGTGAGCAGTGCTATGTGTGCTGTGACCCTGCACCTCTGCACTATCTCCTTTGCCTCAGGCTGACTGAGCAGGTTGGCTCTTGGAGAATTGCCCCCTTAGGTTATCATGGTTTCTGGCTGCCTACTACATTTGCTTTCCACCACGACTTTCAGAGCAGCCAGTGTAAGTTTACCCTGGCAGGATCAGCACTGATTATCATTTGCACTCCTTGCAGAGAGCTAGAAGGCTGGGATGATGCTGTGGAAAGTACTGCTCTCCCCTCTGTGTCATCACTTGCGCAGCATCACCCAAAAAAATATTCACAGGAGACTTTTCATGCCATATAGTGAGGGGAAAGAGGTTTTCTCAAGACTGACAGCCATCTGATGTCTTTCTCTGTCCCTGAAAGTGCTTATTTTTGCTGCCCTTTGCTCATGGAAGCAAGCTTGTACTGTCGGGCACCATATTAACTACTGTTCTAGTATTCAGTTTACATGCGTTATGATTTTGTCAGTTGAAAATCCACCCTGGGCTGTGCTGTATCAAAGCTGTTAGAATCTCCATGAATCCTCAGAGTCCTGCTAGTTTTGACTAGACACCATTACAGCTGCCAAAAGTTCAAGGCATTGTCAGGGCTTTAGAGACACTGACTCTAGCTGACCTGAGTAGGACCCACAATTTTCAAACCAACACAGCTGCATTTTACAATAGTCACCATTTCCGGAGAGGTTGCAGAACTCGGATAATTACCCTGAAAGAAATAAGACAATATTCTTTGATGAGAAAATTACTTTGAGAATTTGATTGTATAATGAAGCTTTTGCTTTGAAAGGTACTTTCTATTGTTCAAAATCTGAAAATCTCTAGCAAAAAGTGTCACTTGTTTTGACAGCCGACTTAAAAAATTCTCTGTTTATTACATTAACTGCAGCATTTTAACTGTCAAACTGTGAAAGAATGTTCTATAGTTTAAAAAACAGAATAGAGCTCAGGGAAATTTTTGGCAGGCTCTTGTTGCTATTGGGTGGGTTTTTTTTCTTTGGAAACACATACACTGTGAATGTGAAAATAGCTTTTTGTGAAGTAGCAAACACAGCTCTCTGCTCCTTATAATGCCTGGAGCACAGATGCAGACCTTGAGCAAGTCCCTGGAAAAAATATTATAGCATTAACACAGCTCTTCTTTACAAGTGTTTCAATCCTTCAGTATGAAAATACATCCTGAAAACATTTTTCTAGTTACTTTATTTTAATGGTGTTCAGATATAGCTAACTTGATGGTAAACCCTAATTGAATAGGATGCTTTAATACAAAGCTAAACACAATAATAACAGGAGTCTTTAACGGCAGAATGATATTCAGCAGACAACAGTATTGAACTCAGATGATGTTATGGGTTATGTTCTTTTTTAATACTCTAGGCTACAGTAAGATAGCAGTATGACTGAAACAATAAATCTGTCATATACTCTTGGTGACTGCACTCAGCAAATTTTTTTCACTTGCAGAAGTAAGGTCGACAGGGTGCTAGGGAGAGGAAGAGAAAAATCTAAACATGGTAAACAGCACAAAATATATCTATAATAAAATAACAATTTAATTATTGCTAAGAATCTATAGCTTCTTGAAGGTCTTGTAAAAGTTGATCAAGACATATTTATTCTCTTGTTCTTAAAATGTTTTATTTAGATATCCCACCCAGCTGTTAGTAGTAAGAATCATACTGGATTATTAAGTTCTGTAGTCCTTGGTAGAGTTTCCTGCCAATGACATTTAATAAACCAAGTGTTATTCCTGGGACAGGAAATACAGATTATCTTTCCACATATTAGTTCACTGATGTTTATGGGTATTATATGTAGTAGATGGTATTTATGGAGTTAATCAAGGAGCACTGATTCAAGTACAAAGATTACATAATTAGCTTCTGTGCTAGAGTAAGTGAACATGCATTCACTTTCACACTCAGACACAGGTAGTGGGTAAAATTATTCATGTCTCCTGTATATTCTTTATGGTACTTGAAGACAAAATTTGTGCTCTGGAAATATATGTTTATTTGACATATAATCACAATGTTATGGGGTCTCCGATCTTCTCCCTTGTTCTTACTGAGAATTTTCTGGTTAGCTGTGTAATAAAAATTAGCAGTGATATTGCTTGTATGTACATGGTTTATCAATGGCAAAGTACTATGTTATTGTCAACATCCTAGTTACAGAGAAGCTCCATGTCTCTGACCTTGATAAATTCTCCAAACACTGAACAGTTTTTATTGATCACTTAATATCACCTGAGTTGTCCTGTCCGTTAATGTGTAGCCTCGTTCCCTACCTATTCCATTTATTATCCTGTCTATAACCAGCTATTGCTGTTAGAATGTGTCCCCTGCAGAAACTAGGTCTTTACACAGCAGGATCCTACAAATCAACATCAGTGGGTCACCACACAGGTTTTACAGAAGCAGTGATGCCTAATATCTCTCAACGTGACATCTGCAGAAGCAGAAGTAAAGACTGGGTACATCCACTATAGATTGTCAGTCCTCCCAATGTGCTAACCCAGGAGGCAAATGGACATACTGAAAGAAGAGTGTACCCTTTTGTCTTGGTAGAGATCTGATGTAGTAAGACATCATCCTTTTCTATTTTAATTTCATGTAGAAATGTGTTAATTTGTTACACTATGTTTTCCATTGTCCAAGACATGCTGGTTTTGCAAGCATGTAATAAAATCAAAGTCGTTACCTCCTGTGGGAAGTATTATTTGTTAAAATCCTTACTTAGTGTTTCTTAAATCTCCAGTGAAAGGTAGCTAGTACTGGCTTAGCTTTATTCTGTACTTAATTAAGCTGCTAGTACCCCACATAAATCACTAGAAGTGGCAGCCTTGTAATTTCAAGCCAGATTTAGAAATAGTAAAGAGTATTTTGAGTCACTAGAGGGCATAGCAGTACCAAACCAGTTTCTGTTTCTCCCTTAACAGTTTATTCCATTTTGTGTAAGAAAAGAATAATTTCATCCAAAACGTTTCTTGTCTAAATTGGTCTTTAGTCTGGGTAATAGTAAATGTATGTCATTGGTAAGTGAAGAACAGATGAAAAGTATAGCTTGCTTAGCAAAGATGATGTCGGTTGTCCTTATGTTTCCTATGACTTCTTTGGCACTTCCTTCATCCAAAAGAAGTCTCCATCAAACTTCTTTTGCAAAAAGATGTAATATAACTGCAGAGTGACAGGATTGCTGAGTACTCCCTCTACCTCACACATGATTTAGACAGACTGTTGATCCAAGAGGTTATTAAGCAGAAAACCTGTAGAGCACTATATTTCTTTATATGACTTTCCTGATTCTCTGGATGCTAGAATCTCCTGTAATGTTGACATTTTAGGAGGAAAACTGCTATCAGAAAGGTTCATTGTGACATTTCTTTTAGGGCTGTCCAAAGATTGAACTGTGCTGTTAATTCTTTTGACACCACACATTGTGGACAGTGGGGTTTGGAACTGTGCACTAGCCTGTTCTTAATGTGAACATGTAAACCTTCTCCTTTGAAACTCCTGCCCCTGGCCTGGACTTCCTGTATCCCATTTCCTCACATCTTAAATTTATCCTCTCTCCCTTCTTATGACAGGTTGCTCTATTCTTCTGTTCTTAGCCCATTGATTTAATTATTTATATTCTGCTTTTCACAAATCTAAAATATATGGTTTGAAAGGACTTAGTCCTATAAAAGTAACTTGGGATAATGCTCTAAAGGATTTTTTCTCTGTGTGTGTATGTAACTCCAATGAGCTGCCTGAAATTATCACAGGAGAATTTGTCCTTTTAGAAAATAAAGTTGTATCAGACACTTTAACTGAAGAGAATCTTGTGAGTGAGAAAAAGATTAGGAGTTACTCACACGCTCCTACAACTCCTTCTCATGGGTACTGTTCATGATATCCTCTGAAGTATCTCTGACACACTGCAGTCCTGAGAGTATTTGTGTCCTTTTTTAGCAATCAGAAAATTTTCTAGTGTGTAGACTACAGAAATGCAATTATTTCTATCACAGTGGCAGCCTCATTCCTTGTTGTGATATAGGAGGATTATTCCTTCATCAATGCATGCTTTTTATTAATGGCAGCTTCTTGTATTTCTCAGTGAGAGAAGTTGAATCTAGTGAATGGTTCTTATTTACTTTTGTGGCTGAACAACAGCACTCAGCATTAACTATAGCAGTCATTTACTGTCCTCCAAGATGCACTGCTGCCTCTGCCAATTTGTTCAGCAGAAATTCATGCACTCCTTTACAAACCACTACTGGTGTCTGTTTCCTACAACTAATTAGTGCCATGTGAAAAATAGTGCAGGTCCCACACTCAGGACTCCTTTTGAAAGGAACAGATCTTTATGTACCATTTCTGATTTATTTGACCATTTTACATATAGAACACTTGATTTCATCAGGAAGGCTGCCTAATCGGGGTGTCTCTAAGGTGGTTGCCATGGCTGCTGCTCGGTGTCATTCAGGTGGTTTCATAGCACTTCCATCCTTTGTGTGCTTCAGTCCTCCAGCCAGAATCATCGTTCAGTCCCTGTTTAGTGAGGAGGTACCCTTCAGTAGACAGTACAACAGCATTTTGTGTTGTTTTGTACTTGTGTGAAGCATTTATTTTGGGCATTTATTGCATTTTGCTGTCCTTTTTATCTTCTCTCTACAGGCCTGGCCAGAGAACTGTAGATGACTTAGAAATTATATATGAAGAACTTCTTCACATTAAGGCCTTATCTCATCTTTCTACCACAGTAAGCATTTTTAAAAATATAACTCATCACCAAAAGGGAGGTTGAATTTTGATTTCTGGTGCTTTATTAGAATTGGAGCGCCTACAACCTTTTCCCTTTATAGTTTCCATGCAAAGAAGTTATTCTCACCTGTTAGGACCACCCAAGCACTATGCAGATGTGGGTTGTCTTTTGGATATAAGATATAATTCTCTTCATGTGTTTCTGCACAGCCCCTACCTCACTCACTTGGCACAGGTGCCTTCTTCTGGGTCCATATATGAGTTGAAATTAAGATGCGTGTAATCTGACCTGACACCTGAGACTGTGGTGCTACTGCATTTTGCAGAATAGATGTCTGATTTATGACCTATAGGAAGTCTTGGCTTGAACCAGTTAGGAGGAGGAATTACACAATGCAGAAAAGCGTACTGTGTAGTGCTGGCTGATTGGAGTTTGGTCACTGAGTGAAGGAAACCTCATCAGACACCTTCTCTCTGAGTGGGCAAGAACAGTGCAGAGAACCAAGAATAAATGAAATGGAGAAAATGCCTGGAGGAGAGAATGCAGCTGTTTAAAGTCTCACCATCGTTGACACTGTGTAGGCAATTGAAACAAGCTAAATAGCACTTTACTTGGTAGCAGCAAGATGTGGGTGCTTTCAGAAAAAGGAAGCCAGTCAGAAAGTAGATTTTTGTTTGACAGTAGCTTCTTTGGAAGCTCTTGATATTCTCAATAATTCTCAGCTAACTTGGACAGATGCAGCTAATTATGAAGCTGCATTACAGAAAGGTAGTACTCCGTGCAAACATATAACACCTGAGCAATGTTTTACAAAAAGAATATGCATCCAGAGTTGGTAACTGAGCTAAGAGGGAACAGCCAGCCAAAATCCTTAAGCATCTCTGGGATGTAGGAAAAAAGTATCTAAAGAAAGGCTTCTGTAAGATCCAGAAATGACCCTTTTCAAATCAAACAAAAGAAATTACCCAAGATAGACAGATACTGAGAGGGAGTGGAGAACACTCTTGATACTACAGACATAACCAAGAACAAAAAATCCGAAACACAAAATATTTCCAGCTCGGAAGAAATTCAGACTTGAGGTCAGAATCCACAGGAAGTAGCATATAGAACAAGTATGGCAAATGATACAAACTGCAAGAAATACCCGACATTTTGAAGAAGAGCAGTTCATTCCATGTTTTTAGTAAGAATTTGGAAATGCCAGCCTATTATGTGCAGCATGAACTGAAGCAGAGGACAGATACCATGACTAGCTTAGAGCAAATCTTCAGAAGAGCAACAGACAGCATTGCTTATATGAACCAGAAGATTAAGGGTCAATCGACTTGAAAGTAAATGGAATGTTTATTCATTTTAAGCAAGGCATAATTCCTAACATAATAAGTTTTCTAGATACATCACAAGCAGCAGGAAGTAAAATAGATAAAATTCAAGTTGCATGGTCCCTGCTAGAGAAGCCTGTGAAGTTAATGTTTAAATGAAAAACAATTATATAATACAGTGTTAAAAACAAATCAAATTCTTGACTTCATCAAGAGGATTCATTCACTGCAGAGGCAAATGACTGAAACACCTGAGAAGACATCTGAGGACGTACATGGACAGGAATGCTCTCTAAAATGTGCAGAACAGTGCTAATGGGGTTGTATTTCCTGTCCTTATGAAAGCGTCATTGCCTTCAGGCAGAGGTTATAAAAGAGTTTGGTAAGCTAATTGTTATAGAAATCACAGGCCTGTGGGTGCGTTCACTGGTCAGTGTACTAAAAAAACCTGTCCAAACACCTCTATTTAACCCTCTTCTCCTTTAGACTGCAAACAAGGAGTGCTTTGCACTGGCTGTCAGGAAGGAGTTCTAGGAGAGGTGGCTGACGTGCTATGTTTATGCTTGGTGCCTGAGCAAAGGTTTGGTGCGTGCCTTTAGGACATCAGAGCCTGAATTTGTCCACCGATCTTAGGAGATGCAGCCACCAGACTCTCAGCTGGATTGTGTCCAAAATTTGAGAGTTCCTCCCCCCTCCTCAAGTTTTTCTTCATGGCCTAAAAATTTTCTTAATTTAAACAGTTGGGAGAATGGTGTGAAAATACTACTACTAAATATATGTTGGAGCCAGCTTTTGATCTGTATTTGGCACGGTTCAGTTACATAGTAGTACCTCCGAAACATGGATTGTCGTTAGCTGACTTTCTCTGAAATGAAGAATCCCACTGCTTGGAAATTGGCCCCCAAGTCCTTGGAAACTTGTGGTTGTATGAAGAGAGACATAAAGCATATAGGAAAACTCAGGAAAATGCGATGTTCCCAGTGCTGCTAGTATTTTGTGAAAGTAACACTATCAGTGTTTACAGTGAGAAAAAGCGGTTGTAAACAGCGTCTCACTAGAGGCAACTGCCCAGTCAGTTGTAAGAGCTAATCACACCAGAGCAATACAAACCCAGTGAGGAGCAGGCGCACACCAAGGGCAGTGTCGCATTCGCCAGTTCCTGGAAGAGGTAGTGGTCTGGATGTTTTGCCTCGGGAGCTATCAGGCGGAGAGGGGCCTCAGCAGGTCCAGGTGGCTGTGCCTTGCAGCTCGACACAGCAGAAGTGGCCAGACTTATGTCAGTAAGGGGAAGGGTACTGATTTCTCAGGGAAGAACAGGAGTACCGCAGAGCCCCATGGAGTAATTGACAATTGCCAGCTATCTTCTGTAACAGATTAGCTGTTACCATTTGAAATTTTCCATCATGTTAATGTTAATTATTAATGATGGTTTCACATGTGTGTGTATGAAGAAAGATGTGGAGACCTGTATCTCAAAGATGCCCTTGTGTGAGCCATTTGGAGCCAGGAGATGCAGATGCTCATGTTCCGTAAAGCCAATCAGTAGGAAATAGGACATCAAGCAAAGCAGACAGTTGTCTGCCTGTGTGACTCTGAATGAGTGCTGAACGATGCAGGGGGAAGGACAGCAGCAACCGGGGTATATTATGTGACTTCCTCCCACCAGGAAGAATAAGATACATATAAAAACTGTAATTTCTCTCTCTCTATTTTAAGGTAAAGCGAGAGTTAGCAGGTGTCCTCATTTTTGAGTCACATCCCAAAGCAGGAACGGTCTGTAAGTAAATGGAGTCCTGTCAGATCTTCTTTCTCACCTGTGGCACGAACATTTAAATTCTTAATGTTTGAATGACAAGAGCAAAACTCGGATGCACTCTTCAAACTTGACTGGCACTCAGTGTTTAAAACCTGGGGTAATAGGTGTTGGCTTGGTCTGTTGCCGATTGCAAGGACAGTACCAAAATTAATTCTATATCCTTGGTTGAATATATGTATCACCTACAATTTGGGTGCATTTTTATTTAGAATTTGGGTTGGACCAATCTCTATTTAAAATGTATTTTAATAATATCCTTGTAGTAAAAAAAAAAAAACAAACCAAACTTGCTGCACAAAATAAAGGATTTAAAATCTTAGATTACTCAGACCTGTTTATACTGAGAAGTTTTAGCAAATGAATGTCAAATTCACAGCCACTAGAGAATTGGGTTAGAACATGGTGCTACTGGGGGGATCCAAATCTGTGTGCTGATTAGTAAGTGATAACCTGACATGTATCAATAAAGTAGTTGTTGCAATTGTCGTGGAAACTAAAAGCAACTTTCACATCAGTGTGATAAAATAACTACTATATGGGTGCGGGTTTTTTTTCCCTAAAATCTGAAGGCAATTGCTTTTAAAATCATAATATGCCCTTTTTCAAGGTAGACATTAATATGACTGCAGTACAGTTACCTTGAATTTTATTGGGTGCAGAATCTGGCCCATTTATATTTTGAGTAACTATATTCTCACCATAAAATCTTTTCTCTCTCTTGTAGTATTTAATCAGGGAGAAGAAGGTACTTCTTGGTACATTATCCTAAAGGGATCAGTAAACGTAGTCATTTATGGCAAGGTATTTTTTTCAGAAGCCTTTTTATATGATTCTTACTATTGAAATTGTAAGAGTAAACTTTGAAGGAATACAGTTTAATTTAGGGCAAAATTGCTTTGTCTGAGGAAACAAATTGAATGTAATTTTATTAAGAAATGATCCAGTGGTTTCAATGATTATACTTCCAGTTGATTGATGTATAATTTTGGGATATATTACACACCTTCTGAATATAATTCAGCAGAGTTAAATCAGTATCTTTAGGACAGAGTAATTTGCTGGAATTTGGTGAATTGCCAGACTTCTGTCTCATGGGGGTTTTTGCCCTGTCCCTTTACCACCATATCCTCTTGCATTTGTATGGCTAACTTCTCTCACGCATGTCAGGCATGTCTGACAGAAGTACTGCTTTGTGACTAGTGGTTCTCAGGTTGGATGAACCCCTCCCAAATTTATGCCAGCTCTTCATTTTAGTTAAGCTATAGACTGAAAAGCACCTCTATTAAATTTCCTGTTTATGAGAGAGATTTTTCAAGGCAAAAAATAGGACTTTGGTACACAGCAATCCCTTGAGTCTTTAAAAATACCTACTTCCCTATTGATTTCTCATTCAGTGACTGAGAATCCTCCATTCTGAACACCAAGCATTTCACCAAAATCTAGCATAGAGGCCCTGGTGCTAAGTCTGTTCCTAAGTAACCCATATTTAGCTACATCTTTTACATCACTGGGTGAGCCAGATCCTCTGTTACTATAAATTGGAGTAAATGGAGCACTGCTGATTTACACCAGCTGAGGATGTGGTGTTATATGTTATTTCTGCAAAAGTGATCTTATTTTTTAGGGCCTCTGTAAATAAAAACCAAACAACTCAACAACTTTCTGTCTTCAGCAGGGCTGGAAGAGTCCTTCAAACTGAATGTAATTTCGGAGAACAAGCCAATTCTTTTCTTTTCTTTTCTTGCCTTTCTTTAGTAATAGTAATAACCAGCTATCAAGTATTGTTTCCTAGTCATTATTTTGGCTGTTGATTTCCTGCCAAATAGATTTGTTTTGGTATTTGATTGTGAAGTCCGGTGTTTGTACAAGGACTTTCAATAGAATCCAGAGTAATGAGGGGTTTCTGCATGTAAATGTTTTGCTCTGTGCAGGGTGTGGTATGTACTCTACATGAAGGAGATGATTTTGGCAAGTTAGCGCTTGTGAATGATGCTCCCAGAGCAGCATCCATTGTTCTGCGTGAAGACAACTGCCACTTCTTGAGAGTTGACAAGGAGGACTTCAACAGGATCCTTAGGGTAAGAGTGGGAAGGGCCGCCCCGACAGTGTGATATCAGAACTTGCAAATTTTTCTAGAGTCTGTTTTATTTCTGTGGATATATTGATATTGATAACCTTGTTTGAAGTGTCCGTAATTGCAGAACAGAGATGCGACAGTCTAGAAGATCAAGTAAAGAATATATTAATCATCCTTCTTTTTTTCCTATTCCTATCTCAGACATGAAAATGGGACCAAATGGAATCTTTTGTCTCTCACATTTCTGTGGTCTAGAATATGCCAAGTGCTCAGTTTTTCCTTATTCTGTCCAGGATTTCAGGGTGATCTTGTATCCAAATATTGAATAAAACAACATCACCTGTTCTGCCAGATAGGTCAGTGTCAGGTACCTTAAACTCAATAAAGGCAGAATCAAGTGGCAAATTAAATAAGCTACAGCTAAATACACACTTGTCTTTATCAGAGAGCTCTAGAAAGATATTACCAAACTAATTTTACAGATACTCCCAAACTAATTTTACAGTTATTCACATTAGGGCAAATGTGTTCCAAAGTCCAGCTGTAATTCTGTAAGTATGGGCTGTTTTGCAATCATTCATAGTATAGGAAGTCAAAACCAGTATCATCCTGTATTTGAATGTATACATGCCCAGTATTGCAGCAATACAACTAGTCCAGACAGAGTACTGTGCTAGAAAAATGAGATAAGATTGTGTTTACTGGACAAAAGGGAATAAGGATCCCACTGGCAGTAAGGTTGGGTTGGCCATGGAGACTTCCAACTGATTTAGGTTTGGTTGATACTTCAAAGAAGATCAAAGTGCATGGTCTTACTGATTTTCATCTGTGTTATTTGAATGCACGTTATATTTCATTATTCTTTTTTTTTGTTTTCTACTATGATCTTGTATTAGAAAATAAAAAGTTTACTGACAGTTTACTGAGCTAATACTTACCATTTTTAAGTGCCATTTTCTTTTTTTTTTTTTTTTAAAAAGTCAGATTATAGATAATAATGTTCATATATAAGTGGGGATAGAGATTACCTTACATATGGAAATTCTGGGGGGGGCGCTGTTTTTTGGCAAACTTTTTTCTTTTGCAATAGCCAGAGATTTTTCACATGGTTCTTGCTGTAGTCCCACAATTCTCTGTCTCTTCCCCCAGTGCCAGTGCTTCCCTCTTGATTCAGCCTATAAGAAAAGCAGAATAAAGATAGATAAATACGGGGGAAGAGACCCAACCGCAGAGTCTTTTGTGTTTGAAAGTCATGCACTTTTTCAGAGTAACTAATCAGCCAAATCAGGTGCAATTACTTTATTAAAAGTAACTTGTCTTGCAGGATGTGGAAGCAAATACAGTAAGACTCAAAGAACATGACCAAGATGTCTTGGTGTTGGAGAAGATCCCAGCAGGAAACAGAGTTTCTAATCAAGGAAATTCACAGCCTCAGCACAAGTATGTTTTCATTCAATAGTGCAAATGTCAGACAATGATTAACCTTTTCATATGGTATTATTATCCAAACAATGGCATGTTCCCCCTTTCTATGGAAGAATGCAGTGCATATAAAGTTTCTCTTTTTTTAATCATCAGCTGATCACATGCCCCATACTGGATAATATATCCATTTCCAGCAGCACACCACTTCTATGTCTTTACACAATAATTCTCTAAAGATCTCACTGTAAATACTTATCTCATGTAATAGCTTCTAAATAGACTGCACATGGAGAATGCTGAAACCCTATTAAGCTGAGCTACTGTGTAAAAGATGTGTGGAAAATACATTGTTTTATTGTTAAGTACAGATATTTTCATTTTGGATTTTGAGCTCTGGATTCTAATAAGAGTTTGCTAGGTACAATTTATATAAAAAACGAAGATCTCATGCAATGAAAGTGCACAGCTTATCTTACAGAATAGGTTTGAACTGTAATAACAATATTCATTATATTTTTTACTTTCATACTGAAAGGGAAAAAGTACAATTCTGTTTGGATACTACTGTGATAAGAGCAGAGTGAGGCTATTATCATTCCAAATGTTGGTAAAAACCCTAAAGGCTTTGTAAATGTGTTATTTGCAAATGGATGCACAATTTTCTTCAGAAATGCTCAAACAACTCCAACAAAATAAGCACCAAGAAGTTTTGAATCCTTTACCCTGGACCTTACTTTTTCTCAAAGAAAGAGCTAATTTACTGTGAGATATTTTGGGTACAGTTTTTATCTGATTTGGCATTTCATATACCTATTTTATCTGCAAAACTGAATATAAAGATTTGTAAAGATCTGTGAAGGGTTGAATAAACCATTTCTTGTACTTTATATACACATTTCACGTATTTCAGAAACTGCCATTTCATCTTTCACTTGATCTATTGGAAAAACAAACTATGCTATCAGGAAAACATGTACAAATTTTCTTTGTCTAAATCAGGGCAACCTGACTGCAGCCAGTGGATTTGCATCAGCAGCTGCAATGCATGGCAACTTGGTCATAGATTTAAATCCATTTTCTAGGGTCTGATACATTTTTCATGCTTTCAAAAGTGAAAGTTTCATTCAAACGTATTTCAAACACCACCTTCCTTGCAAACTCTTTGCACCAGCATTATTTGTATTATTTAACATTTTCTTGTTCAGAATTTGATAAAAATAGATAGAGACATTTATGGTCCGTGGTTAAGTTAGGCTGTATTTTAGAGCTTACATTCCAGGAATATTTTCAGATAAAGCTCAGAATTTCATTTCTGTAAATATTTTATGCATTTGGTCAGCTTTTGGGTACTATTAATGTGCTAGCAAGGGAGCTTTCGCTGATAACAATGACAAATAGACATAAGCTACACAAAAGAGGAAGCTACCTTGAGAGTTCACTGTCTGCTTTTCAGGTGTCAGATTACTTTGTTAATAGTGTGTTGGCAGTGTCTTTTTGTTTTAAAATCTTTCCAAGTGAGTTCACTGGTTTTGAAGATGACATTTCTTTTGTTTCTTTTGTTAGTAAATCGAGTAAGTGGCTACATTTATGCTTGAGAGTCCAAATCAAAGTCACTGATGTATTCTGATTTCCAGAATGTGTTACTGGAATGTTAGCTGAGCGTTTAGTGCTTTTGAAAATCTCTGTGCCCAAAAGAGAAGCTTAACAGGGACCTCTTCTTAAAGGCTTGCTGCTTTGCCCTTAATTGGGTAGCTCACATCTCTGATACCTCTTCAGATGAGCTGCCCTTTGGGCTTTGCTCCCTAAGCAGGTACATAGCTTTTGCACTAGAGAAGTGTTCTGCATCTCAGAGTTGCTCCCTGAGATATCCAGTCAACCAAGAAAGTAATTTCCTTTGTCTTAGTCTTGGGGAAAACTTCACTTTGGGAGCAGATCCTCTCAGTTGCAGTTTGGATTCTACTGCCTCCTCTGCTGAGGAGGTGTAGCTCTTACAGAGCTCCCCGAGCCACGCTTTCAAACAGTGACAGTGTCGCTTCGAAGGACTAGCTCTGAAGTTCTCACTCCCAAGATCTAACTCTTTATGGGTGATCACACTCATGCAGGGTGAATTCAGCAGCCCTGCAAGTCACTTCACTGTTCATTTTCACTTTCATATTCAGAGTACAGCAACCTGTGATTTCTCTGCTTCACTCACTTAGATACTTGGTTAGTATCTCTGCGAGAATGTGCACGGGCTTAACAAGTGTTTGTGTTCTTGGGACATCAATACAGTTCTTCCAAAGGGGTTGGCAGGCAAAAGAACTGTGACGGTCAGCTCTCAAAGTGAGGAGGAGCTCCCAGGAGCTCAGCTCCACCACTTATTTCTCAGCAGGAGCAGAGTATGTTCACTTCTCCGGGTTTTTTCTTTCTCTCTTTTTTTTTTTTTTTAAAGTTTCATACTTTATCAGTTGGATTCCAAAAAAAAGGGAAAAAAGATGCAAAGATTGAAAGAATGGAGGGAAAGATACAAAAATCCAATCTCAAGGAAAGAAAAAAAAGACAACAGGACAAGTTTAGCAATATCCTATGCCAGTACTTAAAATCCTGCCAGTGTTTTTGCATGAAGCAGAAAAACCTGACTATTGCACTAATTCTTTCACCTCCTTAAGTTTACTCTAGGAAATGGTACAATCCTAAGTTTATCCACTTGAAAAACTTACTTCAGCTATCTTAGGCATTGCACAAATTTGAAGATACAGCATGCTATTTCATTATCTGTCCTCATCTTCTCAGACCAACCCGTCAGTGATGCTGAAATTGTTTCCTTGCTCTGACACCAATACACACCAGTTCTCATTTCATGCTCATAGTATGTCTGTTAAGACCCTCTAATGGCTGCGAATTGCTGTCATTACTGAGATATTTATTCTCAGTGGAGAAGCATTTCTGATTGCACTTCCCCAGGTTTGCACCAGTGCAGCTCTGCTGGCTGCGGTGTAACTGTGGTGATGTTATACTGGAGTACCTGTGCGGGGAGGGAGCTGTCTGTCATCTCACACTCCCTGGGTAGAGTGGAGAGAGTTATTGCTCCCATTTTACAGGGGGGAAGCCAACAAAGATTGTGAGTGGTTCTGTCCTAAGCCACACAGAGATTCTGGTCATGGCAGAATTTGTACTCTGGCCCTCGTCAGTCCTGGTCTTCTCACTGATACAACTGTTTCTTGATTAGCTGTTTTGCCTATGAGACACTAACTGCTTCTTTCCCTCCCTCAGGTATATTGTGATGTCAGGAACCCCAGAGAAAATTTTAGAGCACTTTCTAGAAACTATGCGCCCTGAAGCAACTTTAAATGAAGCAACAGGTATCTACATGACAAAGGCTGTGTTATTATTACTGCATAAGATGGTCTTGCTGGGGGAACACCACAATGTGATGCTTTGAAAAGCAGCTAGTGGTAGTTTTTCCCAGAATAAGAATTATCCACTGCTCTGAAACAACCCTGAGAAAACCTAGGAAATCCAGGCTTAAAGATAACAATTCACTCCTCCTAGCGCACTCTATTGTATTTGTACTTTTGGTTCAGAGTAGAACAGCAAAATCTCAAAAGGTGCCAGACCACTAGCCATGACTTTAATTCGGCACAACTATAACGCCAGGACAGAGCATGCATTACCACCCGATGATAGTGGTACTCATACTTCTTGTTCTGGATGTCACTTAATACTGTGAACTACCTTGATATCTCCAGCCATTGTGTTATGCTAGTATAAGTATTCCCAAATTTTCATATCCATATCACATTTAAAGTATCACTATTTAAATTACTTGTTTGTGATACTTTCCCATGTGCAGGGAATGAAGAATTGTTACTCAAAAGAGAACAACTCAGCACACCATGGGCCAAGTCCCAAGCAAGCAGGTTGCTGCAGCTCCACTTAATGGGCTGCTTGTCATTAGTGTAAAGAGAACAGAGAATTTACATCTAGGGATATAGATATTTGCTGACTTACTATTAGTAAGTATTTTATTTTTAAAAAGAGTCAGGCACAAAAAATTCCTCCTAATTATGATAAAGTGATACAGAGACTTTTATATTAAGCTACATAATATTGCTTTAGCAAGTTCTTTTTACGTTGCAGATGTCTAAGAAGTATATATTCAAAGGTGTTCTTAAATCCAGTTAATCTGTTACTGACCTCATAGTATTGGAGAAACCTGTAGAGTGGTCTGTAAATGGTAGAAGAATTGAAAGATTGCAGAAATCCTTTTACCATGAGTGTTTTAACCATTTTGAAGAATAAAAATGATCCTTTTCATAGATACCTTTTTATTAAGATTACAAGCAGAACATTGTTCTTTAAGCCTGCAAGTATATAATCCCAAGTTTACTATTCATAGTATGCATGTGTTATACATTTATCTGAACCAAATTATTTTTTAAATCTTTTAAAACTTTTTCCCAAAACATCCAATGACAAGATTATACCTATATCCTAGTGGGATACAAAATGTCACAATTCACAGACAAAGCTATTTTTAGAATATAGACACTCAGAGTGCTGGAAAATTGAATTTTTAGTTTACTCATTCCCTTAATTTAAGAACAGTTAAAATCCACTTTGCTCTGGATATTACACAAAGAAATAGTAAAGTCCCACCCTTCCGGAGGTGAGCTTTGTCATCGAGAGATTGTCGTGGTTTAGCCCCAGCCAGCAGCTAAGCACCACGC